CTGGACGAGGAGGCGAGGAATTGTGGTGAAGACGACGACGACGACGACGACTACTACTACTACTACTACTTCTGCTGCTGCTACTACTACTACTACTACTACTGCTACTACTGCCACTGCTACCGCTACTACTGCTACTGCCACTGCTACTGCTACTGCTTCTACTTCTGCCTGTATAGTACTGACAATTTACAAGAATATACTTAGCAGAAGGTGCCATAGGAAAAGGGACCCTAATTTAGAGAACTACCCAGCCAGGAAAGAGCAGCCTCTGGTTGGGGGACCCATGGGCCTGACGCCACTTCAACTCTGCAGCTACCTCAAGCATCATGAGGCCAGTGGAGAAAGAAGAAAAAAATTAGGGTTTAGGGTTTAAGGGTTTAGGGTTTCGGGCTTCAAGCATCATGAGGCCAACGCAGAAATCTGAATAGGATTTAGGGTTTAGGGGTTAGGGTTAAGGGTTTCGGGCCTCAAGCATCATGAGGCCAACGCAGAAATCTGAATAGGATTTAGGGCTTAGGGTTGGTTTAGGGTTTAGGGTTTCGGGCCGCAAGCATCATGAGGCCAACGCAGAAATCTGAATAGGATTTAGGGTTTAGGGTTGGTTTAGGGTTTAGAGTTTCGGGCCTCAAGCATCATGAGGCCAACGTAGAAATCTGAATGTGCAGAACCTCCAACAGTCCAACAGTCCTTGATCAAGGAACATGGGGCTTCGGAGTTTACCCGTAGGGTTTAGGGATAGTCGATGATGAAAGAACAGTCTCTAAACTGCATCATTTGAAGCTTCTGCGTAGTTAGTAACATCATTCTCCTGTTAAGAAGCCATGCAGAGGTTGTTCTCGGGATGATGATGTATTTCATACGTTTTCAATCAGTCTTCCGAGATATTCTTTCTGTAAACACAGTATCATCGCCACCGAAATAGCTCAACCAATTGAGCATATATGTATATATATATATACATACATATATATACTTACAAACATCTCTACATATATCATATATCTATATACATGTATGTATGTACGTATGTATGTACGTATGTATATATATATGTATATGTATATGTATATGTATGTGTTTATATATAGACACATACTATGCGTCGCGAGGCTATGCGCCTGTTGATTTCTGCTCGGGCCAACCTCACCTGTGGCATCCTTGCAGAACAGGCCGTCACGTCAGCCGCTATGGCAAACGATCCTGAAGGCGTTCGCATCCTATGTGAAGCACGGTGTGATCCCACGAGAACCAACAGGCTGAACATGCACGCCATTGATGCTGCTGCAGCTCTTAGTGCCAGCGTCGCCCTAGAGGAGCTCTTGATGCAAGCAAGGCACGATCTCCACAAGGTGGATCTGTCCAACTCCCTCCATTGGGCCATGAGTTTCTCATGCCTCCACTTCAGAAAGCCGTTGAGCATTTGCTGTTTAGTTACAGCTGGTCATATTTTCTGAGCGCATAATGTTGTTTCCCCGGGTATTGGCAAAGCAGAAATAAGGTTTTCGGGGTGGCAGCGCAGAGATTGTCAACCGGCTTCTCGACGTCAAGGCAAACGTGGACTACCGGAATGTGACACAAGACGTCCTGGTTCCTAGGCTGCTGTATTACAGTAGATTACCGTGTCTGTCAGTATATTATCGTGTATTCTGGCAGGTTTTAGTATAATGCAATAGTAGATAGCTTTATTATGGAGTATAATAGTGTATTCGCATATGTTAGCATAGATGATAGTTGGGTAGAGTAGACTATGGACAAACAGAAGGTATCATAGTGTCATAGTGCTTGTTCACCCTCTGGATCCCTCTGGTTTCTGGGCTTTTACTGTACTACAATAAACCCACAACAGGATTTTTTGTTCCCAAGCATGTCTGACCAGCCTAGGTTCTCAAGCTTGTCATAGCAGCGAAGAGCCTTCAGCATAGATTCGGAAGGGCCACCATGATGACGCGGTGGATCTACCACCTCCAGTACCAGACACCTCTCATGGCAGCTGTGATGTCCGGACAATACGAGGGTGCAGCAGCCTTGGTGGCACGTGGGGCACGCCTGGATGTGCGGAACGCACGCGGGTGGACGGCCTCAGATCTTGCACGAGAGCAGTTAGTGCCAGACTTTCTCAAGCAGGCTTTTGAGGGACAGGCACGAGACTGCGAGACGGTCTACACATTGGCCATCACGAGTTCCCATTTTGAGCTGTAGCAGCTTTGGTCGCGCCGGTTGCGCAGATCCTAGGTAGCCGAGCTTAGTGAAGTCTTATTCTTGGCCACTGCGATCTGACAGTGTGGCAGTGTGCCGAAAAGGCAGTGTGCCACAGGCCGGAGCAATGTGCCGAATGGCACCAGGCCGTTCTGTTGCTAGCATGCAAATTTCCTTTACCAGGCAGAAACCAAGCATCTCCCATGCAATGCTTTGTATAGCCCTTTGGAATCCCTCAAACTCCACTTGAAGTGTCCTTTGGATTGGTGATTTTTCGGCGAGTCGGTGGTTGTGGATTGGTGCTGTTCAGCCGGCATGTTTCATCATTTTGTTTCTCCACCATTGCCTCGTTGCTATTAATGAGGTTTGTGCGATCATGACTGTTACCATCATATACTTGTCTTCTTATTGTTGCACTTCTGTCAACATCCTCCTTAAGAAGGTCCCGATATTTCACCCTTACAGCAACCGTTGCACCCGTATTCACATTGTTAAGACCCTAAACCCTAAACCCTAAACCCCAGCAAAGATTTAGAGCCATGGTCGCTCTGCAGCCCCTGCTGCCTTCTGATGGACAAAGGGCTGGGGGGCTCCTACGCAGGAAGGCCATGGGGTTTAGGGTTTAGAGTTTAAGGGATTGGGGGTAGACTATCGGGGCCTCTAATAATTACCGATGTTAAATTGGGGTTCTATACTAAAATACCGCCCCCGAGCCTCCTTCCAACGGTAAAGGCCCCGAAATAACTTCGGATTATTTCCGGCTATAATCGGGACGTCCTTGCAACCTCATTGTCTCAGGACTTGACACTTAACGTGGGCTACGGAGCTACAGCATGGCGGTTTCTCGTGATAAGAGAATGGCTGACTTCAAGGTAATACGGGAGCCTGAATAATTACCAATGCTTCGTCTTAGAGTTCCTTAATAGTGATAGTATAATAAGCCCCCAAAACCCTGTTCTAATTATAAAGGCTTCTATATAGGTCTTCTTGGTCGCGAGAGGTCAAATCTCTACAAGCGAGTCGAGGGCGCGCTGCTTGGACCCTCGTGTTGGCCAGCAGAGCCTTTCCTTCCATGCAACTCGGCCCTGAACCCTAAAAACCCTAAACCCTAAACCCTAAGAACTAAAACCCAAAACCCAAACCCTAAACCCGGGCTTGATTCAGGATTTCAGGCTTGAGGAAATAATACAGGGGCTTGAGGAATGCCGCATTCCTCAGGGTTCCATTTTGTAGCCATGTTATGCTGTATCCGAAGACCTTGTTCCAACGCCCTGACCCCTAAAGCCTTAGCCTTGAATCATCCCTAAAGCCTAACTCCCCAACTCAAAAGCACCAAACCCTTAAGGCCTACTCTCCAAAAACCCCGGACTCCCTTCAAAGAAAGGCCTATCTTAAGCCGTGTACTGACGGGCAGCGCTCTTTTTGCGTCTGCAGTGTTGTAGATCGTTCAGGGTTTAGGGGAAGCAGTCAAACCTCCCCTGTCCCTAAATCTTATCATCCTTTTATCAACTCGAAACCCTTTTGCAACTCCTAAATCAAGAAGCTTGTCCTAAAGCCTTTAAAGACCCCTTATTAAATCGGACCTAAATCCACGCCTGTACCCTGAACCTTCAACATTAAACCCTGAACTCCTCAACCCTAGGCCCTAAACCCTAAACCCTAAATTTTAAACCTTCAACCCTAAACCCTAAACCCTATAAGTCGCCCCGCAACCCCTCAAGAGTCCTCCCAAGAAGGCCCGGTGCCCTGGCACCCCCGCCTCCGGGCGCTTCTTTGACCCCTCGGCTGCTGACGTCCCGGATCTCCAAGGCGCCTTTTTGGGTTCAGGGTTGAGGGTTCAGGGTTTAGGCTTGAGGGTTGAGGGTTCAGGGAAGTAGGGTTTAGGGTTTAGNNTTCGGGGTTTAGGGTTCAGGGTTCAGCAGCTCCGGATTGAGCAGGAATATAGTAAAGTTGTATTGACGGTTTTCATGTAACACCCACCCACCCAGAGAATCCCGTAACGTTAAGTTAAGACAACTTTCGTTAAACCATATAGGTCGGTTCAACAATTTTATTCAACAATGGCCTTTCTATTTTTAGTTCGGACTATTATTTTGGGTGTTGACTATTGTTTTTGGGTTCGGACTTCTATTTTCGGGTTCGGACTATGTTAGGGTTCGGACTGTTATTTGGGGGTTAGAACGAGAATTTCAGGACTCGGGCAAAGAATTAAGGATTCAGACTATTATTTTAGAGTTCAGACTATTATTTGGGTGGTCAGACTATTTTTTTGGGGGACTATTATTATGGGGTTAGGACTATTATTTCAGGATTTGGACTATTATTCTAAGTTCTGACTGTTACTGTAAGGTTCGGACTAAGTTTTTTGATTCGGACTATTATTCCCCAAACAGGTACGGTTTGGGGTTCTCTCCTCAGAAAAAAGGTGGGCCGCGGTGGCTGGATGGGTGGGCCGCGGCAACGGGGCTGGGCTCCCGTTGGGCTCCGTTCATGTTTCCTTTCTGGGCTCCTGGGTCGGATGGGTGGGCCGCGGCGAGGGGGCTGGGTTTTCGTTGGGCTCCCTGTATAACTGTGAGCGCTGCCCACA